ATTTGGATACTGTGACATTGATTTAAAATAGTCATTAACCAAATATCTTTTAAAATGTGTTTATAAAGTAGAAATGGCTTAAAGTAAACTAATGTTGATTAGAGCTATGTTAGTGAAATAGAATGGGACCAAAGATAATGGTTTTGAAAAAAAATATATAAGTTTTAAATAAGAAAGGTAGTATGGTGAATTTAAATGTTACTAGGTTCACATATTTTTATGAAAAACAGTTTAAAACTGGTCTGTACATTGCTCCATTTTCAATAGCATGTGTTGTAATACACCAGTTTTAAAATCCTATTATTTAAAAATTTTCACCTGAAGGGTGATATTTTCCCCCTTTCATAGATTTTTTTTTCTCTTATAGTGATTAATTCGTCATTCTTTATAAAAGACTGTTCTAAATCTCATTAAGGAAAGTATTCCTACGTATCACATTTTCTTACTGACTTGGTACTGACATTTTGATTAAGGAATAGAGATTTCCAAAAGATCAGAATATTTTAGGAGATATTTTTTAACCTTTCTTGACCCTACAATCTTTGAGAATTTTAAGAAAACTCTGTATGTCTTCCTTAAGAAATGTACCTATACATAATCATACAAAATTTTGCATATGATTTAATTGCATTCACATACTCCCTGAACAGCAGCATCAGCAATAATGTTATCAATGAACATTTATTGATGTCTTATTCTGTGCCAAACAATGTGCATGGGATCTTACAGACATTAATTTATTCTTACTACAGTTGTAAAATATGTTTAAAATGGAACACATTGAATATTGGACATATACTGACATGGTTTGCAGGACTTGACATGCTCTCATTCATTTTATCTTTCAAAATAATCTTGTGACTGGGTACTATAATTATCCCAATGAGCCCAGGTTCTTTACCACTTTACTACATGGCTCTTTAGACCACATCTGCATTGTAGTTGTTGACTCTGGTCCGATTCATGGTGACCCAGTGGATACCAGAACTAAGCACGGCCTTGTGCCATCTGTTTCACTGTTGTTATGTTTGAGCCCATTGTTATTACCACTGACTGTGCCAATCCATCTCATTTGGGGTCTTCTTCTTATCCACTGATCCTCCACTTTACCAAGCTTGATGTCCATCTTCATGATTGTTTCCTCGTGTTGACATGTCTGAAATATGAGAGAGAAAGTCTCTCCATCCTGATTTCTAAGGAGCATTCTGACTGTACTTCTTCCAACACAGATTTGTTTGTTCTTCTGGAAGTCCATGGTACTTTGAAAATTCTTCTCCAACACCATAATACAAATGCATCAATTATTCTATAATCCTCCTATCCATTGTCAAACTTTTACATGAATATGAGACAATTGAAAATATCTGTGCTTTTGAACACTTTAACAAGGTATTTTTTCAGTATATTTGCCTAGTGCGATATGTTGTTTAATTTCTTGATTGCTATTTCCATGAGTGTTGATTGTGGATCCAATAAAAATGATCATTTTGAGAAAGAACATCAGTCTTTTCTTCATTTATCATGATGTTATTTATTGGTCCAGTGGTGAGGATTTCTGTTTTCTTTCCATTGTTGTGCAATCCATACTTTGATCTTTATCAGCATTTTAAGTTTTTCTCTTTCAGTAAGCAAGACTCTATCCTCTATATTTCATAGATTAATGAGTCTTCCGTATAGATTCTTTGAGTATTTGCTCAGCATACAAATTGAATAAGTATGGAGAAAGGATGCAACTCTGGTACAAACCTTTCCTGATTTTAAACCATTTAGTATAACTTTGTTTGTTCCAGATGTTATCTGTTAGTCTATGTACAGGTTTCTCTTGAGTACAATTAATTGTTGTGGATTATCCATTTTTCACAATGCTATTCATAGTTTGTCATGATTCACACAGTCAAAAGTCTTTGCATAGTCAATAAATCACAAGTAAATATCTATTTGGTATTCTCTGCTTTCAGCCAAGATGCATCTGCTGTCAATGATAATATCCCTAATTCCACGCCCTCTTCTGAATCTAGCTTGAATTAATGGCAATTCCCTATCCATGTACTTTAATTATCGTTTTTTAATTATCTTCAGAAAAATTTTACTTGCATGTGATATTAATGATATTGTTTTATGACTTTCACATTTCTCTGGATATCTCTCCTTGGAATGCTCACAAATTTGAATCAGAGTGCCAGGTAACTGTCTTCCATATTTGTTGGCATAGATGAGTGAACACCTCCAGCTCTCTATCAGTTTGTTGAAAGATTTCCATTTGTTTTCTGTCAATTTCTGGGACCTTGTTCTTTGCCAATGTCTTCAGTGAAGCTTGGACTTCCTCCTTCAGGACCATTGGCTCTTGATCATATACTGTCTTTAAATGATCAAACATAGATTTCTTTTTGGTACAGTGACTCTGTGTATTATTCATTACACTTTCTTTTAATGCTTTCTGCATCATTCAATATTTTGCCCATAAAAACCTTCAATATTCCAAGTCAAGGCTTGATTTTTTTTTTTTTTTTCAGTTCTTTCCGCCTGAGAAATGATGAGTGTATTATTGCCTTTTGGTTTTCTAGCTCCAGGTCTTTGCACATTTCATTATAATACTTGACCTTGTCTTCTAGTACTGTCCTTTGAAGTTTTCTTTTCAGCTCTTCTATTTTCTCATTTCTTCCATTTGCTTCAGCTTCTCTAAGTTCAAACTAGTTTCAGAATCTTTTCTGACATATGTTTGTGTCTTTTCATTCCTCTCATTTTAATGACCTTTTGCTTTCTGCCTGTATAATATTCTTAAGGTCATCCCACAACTCTTCAGGTTTTCAGTCATTAGTGTCTAATGCATTAAATCTCTTTTTGTCAAGGTCTCTCAATTCATGGGGAATATTATGTGCTGTGGACTTGGTTCCGATTCATAGTAACCCTATATAGGGTATCTGAGGCTGTAAATCTGTACAGGAGCAGAAAGTCTCATCTTTCTCTTGTGGAACTGATGATAATTTCTAACTGCTGTCCTTGAGCTTAGCAGCCTGACTTGTAACCACTACGCTACCAGAGCTCCTTGTAGGTGGAATATATTCAAGGTTATATTTTGCCTTTTGTAGACTTGTTTCTTCAACTTCAGCAAGAACTTGCATATGAGAAAGTGATGGTCTGTTCCACAGTCTGTCCCTGGCCTTGTTTGGACTGATTATACTGAGCTCTTCCACCATCTTTTCCTCAGATGAAGTCAGTTGGTTTCTTAATTATTCCATCTGGAGAGATCCATGTATATGTTCTATGAACAAGTTGTTGGTCTTGCAAAATTCTACATGCAATCTCCAGCATCACTTCTATCATCATAGCCAAAATTTCCAACTACTGATCCTTCTTTGTTTCCAATTTTATATTCCAATCACCAGGAATTTTCAATGTATCTTGATTGCATGTTTTATCAATTTTAAACTGAAAAATGTTGGTTGAATTCTTCAGTTTCATTGTCGCTGGCTTTAGTGGCTGTTGAGTAAACTTGAATAATAGTGGAATTAACTGGTCTTTCTTGTAGGCATATGAATATTATCGTATTATAGACAGCATTGTACATCAAGATAAATTTTGAAATGTTCTTTTTGATAATGAATGTGAGAGACATTTCAATTTGTTGTTCCCAGCATAGTAAGCCGTATGATTGTCAGCTTCAAAATGGCTAGTACTGTTTCATTGTTGCTCACTAATGCCTAGGATATTGAATCTCTATGTGTTTCATTTCACTCTGACCACTCCAAATTTTCTTAGATTCATACTTCAAACATTCTATGCTCCAGTTATTAATAGATATCTCCAGCTGTTTCTCCTTATTTTGAGTGATGCCCTATCAGCAAATGAAGGCCCTGAAAGTTTTTCTCTAGTCATTAGGGTCAACTCTACCTTGAGGAGGCAGCTCTTCCCTAGTTGCACTGGTTCATCTTCTAGTAATGTATCTGACCGTGTTCTGCTGCTATTCGCAAGATTTTCAGTGGCTAACTATTCAGAAGTCGCCTGTCTCTACTTCTTCAACCTCTCTTAGTCTGGAATCTCCATTGAAACCTGTCCATGAGTGATCCTGCTGGTATTTAAAATACTAATGGCATCTCTTGCGTCATCACAGCAGTGTGTTAGTCACCACTTCATGGCAGATTGACAGACGAGTAGTAGGGCCACATCTGTAATGTATTGGTTTTCATTATAATCTCAAAATACTCCCTACTATTCATTTTGTGGTTTGTTTTTTTATAAAAATATTTCCTGAAAGCATAGTTTTATCGTAGCTTCATTAGTATTAGGACAATACTAGTAGAGTTTCTAATACTAATAGAAGTTTCTAATTACATCTTAATCTCTCTTTCATACAACTTTTTATTCCTCTCCTTAAATACATTAGTTCCATCCTTCTCTTAGAATACATAATAAGCCAGTCCCCCAGCTTCAAGATTGTGCATGTTGTTTCTAATGAATTAAATAGGACTTTATTAGTACTTTCCAAAGTAGTGCTTACTCATGCAGTTGTCTATATGAAAAGGTATTATATGGACTGATGAAAGACCTGTGTTCAACAGAAACTAGATTGGTTGAGAAATTACAGATTTCTCTACCATTTAATTAATATGTGTTTGGCCAGACTGCTTTGAAAAGTAATTTTTTTTTTTTTTCAATCCACTCTCTGAATATAACCTGGTATTTTACCTTCAATAGTATTTATATGTATGTGTGTGCATATATATTATTGTTGTTAAGTGCTGTCGAGTTGATTCTGACTCATAGCGACCCTGTATTTAGGGTTTCCGAGGAGCAGCTGGTGAGCTTGAATCACTGATCTTGCAGTTCAAATTGACCTTGCAATTCAGTATATTAACACATAACACCACACCAGAAATAAATATATATGCTAATATATTAGCATGCCTGCTAATCAAGTAACATTTGAATAGAGGTAAAGATAAAGGATGCTTACATTTATGTATTATTGTTTTTTTCTTTTCTATTTACCCCATTTCCAGCCAATTGGAGCCTTGAATCCAAAAAGGGCAGCATTCTTTGCAGAGCGTTATGAATCATGGGAAGATGATCAAGTTCCAAAGTTCCACTATGGTACTCATTACTCAACTGCAAGTTTTGTTCTTGCATGGTTGCTAAGAATAGTAAGTTCAATTTTAATAATAAACCATGACTAAATAAATTCAATGTTTGGAGAATCTATGATTAACAATCATCAATATGTTTTTGTAAATGAGAAACATTTTAAATGACTGAAGCTTTATTTATATTTCATCTGGAATGTGTTTTATAGCATATTACTATACTATTACATTTAAAATATATTTACCTGGAATTGTGTGGGATTTTTTTTTTGTAAATTTGCCTCTTGCAATGGTAGTTGTTTTATGCTGAATTGTTGCAAAGATTAGTTTCAAATGTAGTCTATTAAAATAGGGTCTTTATAAGATTTCATGAACACAGACATATATTCATATATTTCGGCAACTTTAATTGCACCAAATGGAGTAAGGTGTATCTTTAGGTAACTGAGGCTGCCATGTATCGATAATATATTGGTTAAACAAGAAATGTTTCTGTAAAATTGAAAGGTGATTTGTCTGCTAGAAAGTAATTTCTTTGGGAAAGCATTAGCAGCACATCATTAATTAAAGCTTGTTAGAAGGGTACAGGCAGACATAAATCCTCGAAGTAATTTATAGTGCTTAGCTAATTTCAAGCAATTATCCACTAATATGTGTTTAAGTGTTCTTTAACTAAGAGGAGGCTTTTAAATCCTCCAAACATTTTTCTTTTCTTAATCATAAATTAAATATTGAGCCATAACAATAGGAAAATTACATAGTGAACTGTTACCCTGTACTGTGAAAATAATGCAATCTAATTTGTACCTGAATGGTGTTAATAAGTTGTTCCTGGAATGAAGAAAATGTTATAAATACCAAACTTGGAAAATATTTATTACAAGCACTTCTGAAATTTAAAAAATAATATTAGACCATTATTGTAATCATTCAGATATAAATCCTGTTCTTTACCTAGAATATATAGTATATATGAGGGGACATCAAGCAGTTCTTAGAAATATTTTATTATCTTTTAGTTTCATTTTCCATGAACTTTTTTTGAAGCCCCCTCATATTACTGGCCAAAACGTAACAATATTTTTCTTGTGTGTCATTAGAATATTTTAATATAATGATTTATTAAAAACCATATTTTTATGCCCGAGGGAAAATGTGTCGTGTTTTTTTTTAATTGCTTATTTTTTAGGAACCCTTTACAACTTATTTCCTAAATTTACAAGGAGGGAAATTCGATCATGCAGATAGAACTTTTTCATCCATTTCCAGAGCTTGGAGAAACAGTCAACGTGACACATCAGATATCAAGGTACAAAAATGTTTCATTTTACTGTTGTTTTGGACATTGTACACTGAACACGTGTTTTTTCCTGCATTGTAGCCCTATTCATTAAAGGTAAGCATTAGAGAATGTTGTTGTTGTTGTTAAGTGCCATCAAGTCGGGTCCGACCCATAGTGACCCTGTACAGGGTTTCCGAGGGTGTAAATCTTTACGGGAGTAGAAAGCCTCATCTTTCTCTCGCGGAGCGGCTGGTAGTTTCGAACCACCGACCTTAAGGTTCGCAGCCCGATTCGTAACCACTACGCTACCAGAGCTCCTTAATAATTAAATGACCAAGAAACATGATGCAGAATTTCTCTTTTGTTAGTTCGAGAATGATCTTTACTCCTTGAAACTTTTTTTTTCCTTTTACAGGAAAAATAATATGAATGTCCTCCATGTAAGACATCATATCTCTGGAATTCGAAACTTAATGAGTAAAATTAATAATGTCATGGTAATTCTTTGGAACAATCTCAAACCCTTGTATATAGAGATTCCATTGTCCATTATTAGGTAATCATCTTTTACCTGCTGCTGGTCCGAAATGTACACTTGACATTGCTATAAGATTGTATTTGCTGAGGAAAATAAGATATCTACCCTTGTCTATAAGGAGCTCTGGTAGCGTAGTGGTTACGAATTGGGCTGCGAACCTTAAGGTCAGCAGTTCGAAACTACCAGCCGCACCGCGGGAGAAAGATGAGGCTTTCTACTCTCGTAAAGATTTACACCCTTGGAAATTCTGTACAGGGTCGCTATGGGTCGGAACCGACTCGACGGCACTTAACAACAACAACAACAACCCTTGTCTATATGCATATTTACTGTTGTAAAAAGCCGAAAAAGTTTTGCATAGTAACTAATATAATTCTTACTAGATTTTTTGTTTCTACCTTCAAAATTACAGTATTTTATTTTCTTGATATGCATTACTACAAGTACTATTACATGCTATTTAGTATAATGAAATATAGCTGTGATTTTTAATTTCCTTACGATCTCATAAAGAAACTGATTTACTCATAAATAATTATCACATGGGAGAAAATACAAAGTGCCAAATGGAAATTTGAGAATTCAAAGGGATAACTGTTAAGTTACTAATGTGTAAGAAGCTATAGAGGGAGCCCTAGTAACTTAGTGGGTTACACATTGGGTTGCTAACCACAAGGTCAGTGGTTTGAATCCACCAGCTGCTTCTAGAGTCCGATGAGATTTTCTGCTCCCTTAAATATTTACAGCTTTGGAAACCCTATACAGGGTTGCTGTGAGTTAGAACCGATTTGACGGCATGCAACAGCAACAATTTGGGAACTACAGAATACTTTTTTAAATTTTCAGTATAATGATAATTGCAAATTTCATTTATGTGTTGCAACGGCAAGGTGAGCAAATCCTAATTGCTAACTGAAGTGTAATGATTATCATGAATTTAATTTCCAAAGTGTGGAACTAGATCCAGCCTCACCTACTCACATCTCTACTTTCATCATGTAGCACCCCTAACCATCTAGAGCTAGGTCAGAGATCACAAGTTACATGGACACCTTCTTCAGACTGCCAGACAGGCAGATATCAATCCCTGCTGACTTTTACAGTCCTTGTGTGGTTTCATTAATTCAAAGAAACAACTCTCAGAATTATACTATACTTAATGGCTACAGCTTCATTAAACAAAAAGGGTATAAGTAAAGACATGAGGCGATAGTGTGGCTCATCCTTACACTAAAGGACACACTTCTCTCCCTAATTCATGGTCATGAACTAGGAAGCTCCTCTGACCCTCTGTGTGCAGGACTCTTACTACATTGCCACAGTGTGGTGAAATACAATATGCCTTATGAGGTAGTTAGCTACAGACACCAGGTGGACCCATTTGGTCTGGTCAGTCCCTACTCATTGGCTTCACTTGTTGGTATAGCTAGAAAGAATCGAAAACAAAGGCCAATTTGCCTTCTGCAAGTTAACTTTGTAACTTGCATTTGTGTTACCTTATCGTCTACAAAATGTATTCAAGGGAGTTTTTTAAAGTTTGTGGAAAAATGGAAATGATAGCTAATGGAATTTTTCTGTGAACCTTTTGAAGCTGCTTTGTACTTAATCCTTTTTAAAATTATTGTTGTTAAGTGCCCTCCAGTTGGTCTGACCCAGAGTGATTCTGTATAGGGTTTCTGAGGAGCAACTGGTGAGCTTGAACCACCAACTTTGTGGTTCAAAGCAATTTTGCAGTCCAGCACATTAACCCACAGTGCCACACCAGGATGCCATTTTTTTTTTTTTTAATGTTCTATGTGAATTATGTGATAGTTTACATGATAGCTTTACATTCATGCTATCGTATATTGTTTCATTGCCATGGTTCCAGTCCCCTCCATGCATCGTCAACCAACCAAAGGGTATACCCCACAAGCCTGCCCCCTGGTCGTCAGCACATAGCCCCTCTCTCTCTCTGGGTCTAGGGTCCCCAGCCGCTCCATCTCTCCATGTCATCATCTCTGCCTCCATCTCTGGTGCCACTGTTTTCTCTGGGTAGGGTCCCACAATCTGCTCTTCTCTCTTGATGGTCCCAGGGACCTCTGCTCCTGGACTACAAAGTCAACCACTGTCTTCCTTTTGCTACATAATGTCTACCTTTACATTTCCAGCCTTCACAGTCAGTCCTGATGGCAATTATTCACTATTGTGCCACATGAGTGCTATTCCATCTCCTTTCATCAGCCCCACCTAGATAGGTTAGATACTGCTCAGTGGAGATTCTACCTCCCTCTTGAAAGTTTGTAAGCCAGTCACTTCTTGCCTTTGTAGTCCTTCGTCCCCCACCCCCCCATTTTGGGTAGCCAATGTCCAAGTTGCTCATCCCTGTCTACCCTATGTATCTAGGGGGTGGGAATGATCCTTGCTGAAAAAGATATGTTCCCTCTTTTGAGCTACTGCATCTATAGGTATAGGTCAAGTTCATCAAATTGTATCTGATTACTTTTTTTTTTTCCTATTCTTTATTCTTATAGTTGAGTTCTGATCATCCAGCCATTGAAGCCAGGTCAAGTGGGTATTATCTGCAAGTGTGGGTGTTCTTGTGCATATGCTCTCTCTTCTTACCCACTGGACGCTTCACTTTCCACTCTGGTCCTCTGTGGCTATGTCACTGATTCTAGGCTCAGGAGTCCCCAGGTCTTGCCATACTGCTGGCCAACCAGGTCTCCACCCAGGTTCACAGGAGTCTATTGAACATGGTAGGGCTTAGCTCGCAGCTTCATTGATGTTTTTCCCTCACTTCCCCTTATTGGTGACCTACGTGGTCACCAGTCAGAGCGCATGTCTGCTGTGTGTTCCCATTGGGTCTCAGTCTTAGAAGGGGGTTTGCCCTGAGGGGACCCGACCACTTGCCTTGATGTCTCCTGGGTGAGCCACTTGCTTGTTCTTGTAGTAATCAGTCAGATTGCCGTAATTGTTTTGTATTTTACCTGTCGGTCTTTCTTTCAAGAAGTATCTTCTGTTCTTCTAGCCACTCCAGGTTGGTCTACGTATCCTTTCCAGTGGAAATTTCCCACCTCAAAAGATTTTGAATGGGGTTCAGGTTTCCACCTATGTAATGTAGAAGCTCCACAGGAACCCTCCTTCACTGGGCATGTTGTAGCCCTATTTTAGGTATTCCAATCAGTTATTGGCAGAAGACAGACTTACAAGCTTTCTATGGTAATATTTCTGGCTATTCCTTTCTTTCCCCCTCAAGTGTCTATTTTATAATGGTATGCCAGGGAAACCAAGATTCAAAAGACAGCCAAGCATCTTAACATTATTTCCCCCCTGTTGTGCATTCTAACCATGTGCCTCAATCCCTTATTCCAGAGCCCTGTAGTTCCAAGGTTGTGCATACGTTATTATTTGCCTCTGATCCACTTAGCTCGTGCAAACCTGCCTAATTGTTCTCCTATCCTCCTGTTCTTCCTTTCCCCTCCCCTTTCTTGTGTATTGACCCCCTTCCCAGAACCCAAACTATCCTGTGTCGTTCCCTACCCTGTGCTCCACCTTCCCCTACCTCCCTTCACCCCACCCTTGACATCCCAGTAACCAGCAAAGAATCCAACGCCCCCCTTAGTATGGGTTCTTGTCCCTTAGTCTTTTACAGTAGTGTTCCTATGCAGTAGTTCTCCTTTTGTGACTGACTTATTTCACTCAACATAATGTCCTCAAGGTTCATCCATGTTATATGGTAGCTTACAGCTTCCTTATTGTTCTACAAGGTAGCATAATATTCCATTGTGTGTATGTACCACAGTTTGTTTATCCGTTCTTCAGTTGATTGGCACTTTGGCTGTCTCCATCATTTTGGTATTGTAAATAGTGTTACTATGAACATTGGTGTGCATGTATCTACTTGTGTTATAAGGATGCCATTTTTTAGTTGTGTGTGTGTATATATATATATATATATACATACATACACACACAACAAAACATTTCCCTATTCAAATGTTTTCACATGTACACTTTTTAGTTGTATGTGTATGTATATATATATATATATATATACATACATACATACACACACAACAAAACATTTGCCTGTTCAAATGTTTTCACATGTACACTTCAGCCACACCAACCACACTCCCCATGTTGCACAATCCTTGTAGTGGTGGTGGTGGTGGTGTACCGTGGAGTCAGTCTCAACTCATAGCAACCCTGTATAGGGTTTCTGAGGCAGTAAATCTTACAGGAGTAGAAAGCCTCATCTTTATCCTGCAGAATGACTGGTAGTTTCAAACTGCTGAACTTGACTCCTAATCACTATGCTACCATTGTTCCTTTTTCTTATTGAATAGTGCAACACTGTTTATATCAAAGATATTTTATTGAGAAAGATACTCTCAAATGCAGAAAAATAATTTTTTATATTGGAGCACTGTTAGGATTTTTCTTTCTCACCAATAATGTACTTTGAAATTCTCTTGAAATTGTATGTCATACTTTTTAAGAATCA